AAGTAATGCAGATTTTATATTGCAGAAGGTACATAGATACGCATATCAGGAAATGCACATGGGAACAAATCTACCTGTATAAATTTGCATCTAAACAATGAGGAGACAGAAACCTAATTAATAAAACTTTTCCTAACTTGACATGTAGTCAAAAATATGTTTTAGTTGTGATGGATGACTTTAACTGGAGGAGGTGGTGTTTAGCAGCTTGCTGGCTCTGTGCCACTTTGGGATTCCACATTCAGAAGGGAAATCCTGCAGTGACTAGCTTTGTTGGCTGCCTGGCACAGTCAGTGGCACAAAGCAGCTCTAGTAGGCTCAAGGATTTGATCCTTTAACTCCCATTAGAAAAGGAGGAATCTACTGGAAAAATTGCAGTTTCCCACTCCTACCCTTTTAACTATGGAATATGTGCAGTGTGGCTTTCAAAAAAAAAAAAAAAAAACAACTCGCCTTGGGTATCCAGAAACTGACATTCCTGAAAAGTTGGTGTAAACCTTTCTGTAATTCAGCCCATTTTATATGCTTGGGGAAGGAGAGCTGAGGCACAGAATCAAACAGCTACATTGCAAAAGACAGTTGTGCAGTTTTTCATCAGCATTTGGGTGTGTGGGGTTGGGTAGAAATAGCTTTCCCCTCCTTCCTTTTTTGGCATAAGCGACATTTTGTGTGTCATCAATTTAAGAAGCCAGTGTTGTTTTGCTAATAATACAATGCCCAATCTGCAGAGGGTAGCAGTTACTTTGTCTGCAAAATTAGGTGGAAGTGGGTTGTAAAACAGGAGGAGGGAAGAATGAGGAATGCTGAGCTTATTGGTATTTCTCGCCTCTGAAGCAGCCCTCGTGTCTATTTACATTGCATATCTGAGCTGGGGACCCTGAGGCATTTTTGCTAGCTAAGTCTAACTTTATTGCTCAAACTGGGATCAACCTTGACATTTGTAGAAGGCAAACAAGGCTACAGATAGGCACCCGCTTCTGTTGTGCTGCCTGTCAGGGTGAGAAAATAGGACTGGCAGTAGTTGCATTTTGCAGGCAACAGGCAAGCCACTGCAGCAGCTTGTGCTGAAAGGCCTGCCTCCTCCAGAAGCGGGGTGAGAGAAAACCAGGTTGAGGTCGGCTGTCTTCTCCTGTCCAGTGTTGCAAGTCCTGCAATGCCCGCCGCGGACTCTTAAGGCCCGGCTCCTGGCTTGCAGGAACGCGCGGTCATCTGCGCTGCGTCCTCTAGAAGAGGACGTCTTCGGCTGTCAGGATCCAGGGCAGACCCTGCCGGCGGGGCCTGCACGCGCGGCGGAGACTCAACCCCCGCGGAAGAAATCAGCAGCCTCCAGAGCCGGATCCCTGCAGCTGGCTGGGCCGGGGGAGGCAGGATGTAGGGACAGGACCGCGAATAGCGCCTGGCCCAAGACGCGGAGGGTGCGTGGCATCCCGCAGACCCGGGGAAAGCCGGTGCGGCAGTCACGTGGCGAAGGCTGGTGCTATGCCCCCATACGACAGCCATCTTAGGTGTGGGCAAGCGCTCCCCCAGCTCAGCGCCCCCCCAAACCCGCCCGTCCTGCGTGTCGCCTCCTGGGGGCTGTCACATGCGACGCCGCAGAGTCTCCTCGCCCG